CCTAACAATCCTTTTCTTTTATCTCGAACTATTTAGTCCATTATGTATAATATAATTAGTAATAAATTTGGAGTAATTTTTAGCATCTTGTTTTTTCTGTTTGTCCTTGTGCTTATCTGTATTTGTACTGGTATTTTTCATTGAGATTACTCTACTCTTGGTGTTTTAAATTTAGGTACTCCATTACTTTTTAGTTGCTATCTAAACCATTAAATTCATTAAAAAATTTTAATTCTTTGTTAATGCTTTTTCTTTCTAACTAAATGGACCGGCCCATTTGCATTCATATTCCCATGATACACTTCCTGAGCTTCACACATGCAGAGACCCAGGAGTAGGTGCATCCTCACACAAGCCATTAAACACATCTAAGTAGAAAAAAACAACAGGACCCTTGACCAAGACCCAGCACATCCTGTGACAGATTACAAACTACCACAAATTCTTTGAAGTTGCTCCCATCAGAAGAGGGAGTGTTTCATTTTCCCTTTCATATGAATTGATCTTGTGACTTTGACCAATAGAAATCTGAACTGTGCAAGTTTGTCCTCAAGAGGCTTCTACTAATAATGGATTGTTATTTCCAGCTACTAAGTTTTGGGGATATTTGTAAATGTCAAGCAATAACCTACTGATAAATTGGTTCATGATATATATCAGGAGAGCCTTCAGAACCAGGCTCAGTCTTGAGAATTGTGTCAATAGTGATGGAGGAACTGGGTATCTCCTTGTAACTTCAGATGAGAAAAATCCTGATTCTAACTCAACTTCATAAGTTTAGGGGCCCAGGGCCCTCGCAGAATTGGGGGCTTGAGGAACGGTTGATGGGAAAGCTGAAAAGTGGGATGCYATAAGTTGTGATTTTCAAAAGCACTGTCAGAACCCTTTAGCCTCTGCCATTCTTCCCGTTGACCCCTGAACCTGACTGGATGGACTGAGGRTGCAAGATTGTGTGGAAGCCCCCAGAATGGCTGTAATCAATAGTGATTCTAACACCATCCAGAGGCCCATAGTTGCTAGAGCTAGACTGCCATTCCATATTAAATTCCCTACCAAGCACGGGCTCTCTAGAAACGTGGGCTGAAGCGGGAGGAAATCCGATGGGTCGTTTCGGGTGGGACAAGAACACCCCCAKGGCCTCCTAGTCCCATTTCCGCCCTAGCCCCGCCCACACCTAGTTCTACCCTCGGCCTTCGGTTCTGAGTGGGCCCCACGCCCCATCCTCCCTCAATGTGCGGCCGACGCCTGAGCTGCCGAGCACYGCAGATCCTGGCGGTGAGCGGAAGTGACGTCAGCGGCCCTGCTGTCTCTTCCGGCCGTGCTTTTGCACGAGAGATTCTTTGCGTTCGCCTGTGTGATGCGGCTACGCGGTAAAGGGTGGGTTGCGGGACGGGTTTCGCCGGGGAGCCTCTGTATAAAGGCCGGGCGTGCTCTGCCCTCGTTCGCCGCGGCCATGAGCCAGGGCCCGAGCCCCCCCGCCTTTTTTTTTCTTTCTTTTTTTCCAGAAGGAAACGAACCTCCGCTGGGTTGCGCTGTGTCGGACCAGCGCCTCCGCAGCGTCTGGTGAGAACTAGGAAACGCGGTGGGACAGGGCCCTCTTTTTACTTTTACTTTTTTGACAGAAACGAACGTTTTAACTGAGGATTTGGTTGTTTGGTTGGACATTGTCAGTACTAAGAGCAAATATTACTTCAATCAAGACATTTAAAATAAGGTCATGAAATATCAAGTCTGTAAAAAAACATAATCTCTTTTGTATCAATGTTTGCTTTGGGTGTTTGGGGATCTAAGATCGGCTCAAGGTTTCTATATTAATTTTCATTTTTGGTACCAGGAATTGAACCCAGGGGTGCTTAACCACTGAGCCACATCCCCAGCCCTATTTAAGTTGCAAAGGGCCTCCCTGTATGCTTGATGCTGGCCTC